AGAAATGAACATTCTACAATAACAGTTTTTAACTGATTAATGGAGCAATAGCGAAACTTTTATTGCAAAATAATTTTTTCCATAATTTCATTCTAGTAAAAGGAAAGAAATTTTAATTTGATTTTTGAATTAATTAATAGTACTTATTTATTAATAATTGAAGAATTACACATATAGTTGTACGTCTCTAATAAACTTTAAATTCTTTCTTAGAATATCTCTAACAATAAATATTTTATACAGTATATCTTGTAAGATAGAAACTTAGAATATACATATAATATTACGAGTATAATGTATAGGTACGATTATAATGCGCGCTTTATATATATATTTTATAATATAACATTAAAGTAATTCAATATTCATATATAAGCAATTCTATAATAAAAAAGCTAGATATAACTTTTGAATTTATTGTACAAACATCTACAATTCTTTCTCTCGTGTTACAGATAATAATACAAATATATTTCATTTGAATCTTCGTGAAATCGATTCGTTGCGATTTCCCTTGTCGAAAAATTGTTCCTACTAAAAATTAATCAACATAATTTTCAACTAAATCATTCATTTATACCTGCTAACTTGCCTTTAAAATTACCGCATTATAATGACGGCTCGATCAAATTAATGTTTAATTCATGTCGCTTAGTTGGAATTCACGTAAGCTCGTGTTACGCATCCAATTGCCGATACATCGGTTTTGTTAATCGGCAGAATTAGCCGACGTACTCCTTTGTATGCAAGTTCGAACGGTCCAATTATTTCCACGTAACGTCGCGTTCCTGATACGCGTATCCCACCCATTGCATATCCCGTTATTGCTGATTGAATCGATCGGTTTTAATTTCGCGGTTACTGCGCCAGTACCGTAAATCAGGCCAATTGCGATGCACGCTGTCAGCAATGCCGTGGCACCTTGACCCCCATTAAATCACATGGTTCCTGATTTGACCATTGTGTTTTTTATTTTTACTATGAAGGTCGTGAGCCTTATTTTATCAAAGTTATTTCTACTTTTGTCGTATCTCAACTGCCATTACCATGTTAGAAAACATAATCATTCTTATCAGCGATTTTTATTTACTCGAAACACATTTTGTTAACTCTTTGTGCGTTTTGATCACAATCGTTAGCGGTTAAAAATTAGCCTAAAAAAAAGGTTTATTTTTTATTGTCGAGTAACCATATTGTTTGGAGCATATATTCGTTTGTGCAAAATGTAATCCTGTTAAACTCATTGCACAATTACATCGCAAATATCCGCAACGGTAAACATCAGTTCGAACCGCGCGATCGCAAAGGATTAAACCAGTTCGGCTGATGTTTGGCGCCGAACTCGTCGATGATTTCCGCGCGTGTACACGCCGGATTGGCTTACTATTTGCGGCGAATCGGCCGATGCACCGCGCCATTGTCGCCGTTAATTGAAACGATCGTTTGCAGATCCATGGTCGATTTCTGGTCGGGAGATTCGGCCCACCTCGGCCTCCTCTCTCTCTCTCCCACTTTTGTTCCATAGGTCGCACGTGCGTATCATGATACGCAGGTGCACGCGATCAGCATTCTGCATTTTTATCACTACACTTTGGAGATCGATGATCTCGATGAAGCGCGCACTCCGGCTTGATCGTCTCCTCTCTCTCGCGGTCGCCAGGCAAAAAAAGCATTGAAAAAGCGTTGTACAGAATGAGCTACAAGCTGTGTAACAAACACGAACAGAGTTTATGACGCTTGAAGAAAAATAGATTCCATATAACTTTGATATTCTTAAGCTTTATTTACGGAGCAGCTCCATTTACATTTGAATCCAAAATGACTTCGATCATTCGTTGTAATAATAAATTATTAGTGCGCCAGTTTTTACCGAATCTGCCATATTTCCAATTTTAGTTTCAATAAATTCATTGTTAAAATATATTTCAACAATTCTGGAATTTACTAGTCGCCTGGCAGAAACTACTGCACAATCCGCGCAAACAATGCACCAATATTTCCCGTTTTTACCAATTTATTGAAACGTCCGAATATAGCGTTTCTCCCCGATATTTTCAATCGAATAAATTTCACTGCAAAAAATTCTCGGCGTGCGTATTTAGCTGCACCTGCGATCTCGAGGATGGCGCGCGCTCGTAGTTGTAGCCTCTACAGTAATCTCGCCCTTAACTCGCGCCGTGCTCGGCGCGAAGCGCTTACTCCGCAAGTACAAATTGACTTTTTTTCCCTTCCCCCTGCGGGACGTGCCTGATTGCTGAAAATGCAAAATAAACGGTAGCGCGGCTATCCCGCCGACCTCAATCCGGGCCCATCCTTTTTTCGAGACACGCGCACGGTAAAACGAGAAATTCTCTTTGTTCGCGGATTCATTCCAGCGGAAACTTAATTTTCTCGCGTTTCCTCTCGAAGCTCCGTTGATCCACCCCGTGTCCGTCGTTATGCCCGAAGAAACAAAGCGTTATCGCCGATAAAGAGGTCAATAGTATTTTTATCGGGGAATCGGCGATAATGTCTTAGTTGAATGGCGGTCCATTAAGCTTGCCCTGTCTGATTCTTGAAAATGCAATAGCGAGCAGCGCTGGCGTGAGGATAAATTAATCGTGACGTTGATCGTTATTTATGAATATTTCTGCTTGGGAAAACGAGGCAGATGGCTTACTCGTCGGATATGTTTCCGCGGTATGAATATAAGCATTATTCCGTTGACGGTTAAAACGAGTTGGACGTCGTAATATTGTTGATACTCCTCTTTTTAATACATGCGTTCTTAATATTTTGCTCAAGAAAATTCTTCATGAAAATTGACGAGATTTACGAGACATGGAAACGAGATTTTCGATCATTCTGAATATTTTATCTGATATGCTCTTGATACGAGATTCGAGTAACGATCGTAATATTTTACAATAAGTACTCTATGTAGTTTTGATTGATGTTTTCGGTCCATTGTGTATGTTACTGTTATTTATTAATATCTAACAATCATAAATGTAGAAACTACCCAGGTCACAAATTAAAACGAGCTATATTAGGTGTACATTGTGATAATATTTATTTTGTTCAAAACTATAACTTTCACGGAACGTTTCGACTTCACTTGATCTTCATCAGCCGTGAATAAAATTTATAACCCCATACAATGAAAAACTCGAAATTAATTCATAATAAATTAATTATATAATTAATGCATGATATTGATTATCAACTTTACTTTGAGATATCTTTATTAATATCTTCTAAGATATCTATGAGCATCAATATGATTAAATTGCTTGTCAATTTAATTTGTATAATATTACTGTTCTAGTTTTGTTAGGATTGCATTTGAAGACTAAAAGTTAAATTCAGTGTGTAATTTATAGTATTGAATACGTATTAATTCACACTAAATTATGTACTAAAGATATTCGGCTTGTCCGTTTAGGATTTTTATTTCCGATTTATTGTCTATTCACCTTAAAAAAGATACTGTATTTAATATAGTGTTATTTAAGTTATTGTACTTAATCATAATATAATATTGTTATACATGTGTTCATACTATAACTTTCACGGAACGTTTCGACTTCACTTGATCTTCATCAGCCGTGAATAAAATTTATAACCCCATACAATGAAAAACTCGAAATTAATTCATGATAAATTAATTATATAATAAATTGATTATAATACGAATATTTTGTCCTTCTACCAAATATTTATTCGATATGATTTCCTTTAATTGGACTGCGCTGTGTCACACTCAGCAAACATAATAGTGATTAAAAGAGTCGCATTTTTTTGGCGCATACTGTATATAATTATATATATAAGCGTAAATATATAATATATACATCAGAAAAAGAACGATTTTATCGAAAGAGCTACAATGCTGGATACAGATCTAAAAATAATTTTGCTGGATTATCATAGTAATTTTATTGGAAATTTAAATTGCTAGAATATCCAAATTTTTTGCAGCATTACAGCATTATTTTTTAGTTTCCAACGTTATTTTGATGGTTTCAAATGAAATTATTTTCAGATCTGTATCCAGTAATTTGAGATATTTCAGTAAAATCGTTCTTCCGTTATATAAACCAAATTTAGACACAGCAGAAAATTTTTTAAATGAGGTAGAATTTGAAATATAGCTGTACCTTTATACAAGACTAATTTAAGCAGTCCTATTTTCTGTCTGGCGCGATACACGGTATTTTTGCGTGAAAAAGAACGAAATGAACCGCAAAGAGGTTGAAACAGTTTCAAGTAGAACGCAAGCGTAAATGGCTGCTGCATTGCCTGTGCTTAAGAACGATAAAACACGATGCGTACGACTATCGTGCGAGTTATGTGAGAAAGCAAGGGCTGTGCACGATGCGCAAATACACACAGCATGCACCAGTGATCATTTGCGGTTTAAACACAGCTGATATCTCCGAAACCGTCCGTTGCGTAAGTAATGGGCAACAACGGTGACACGAAGCACACAACTATTGCAATATCGAAGAAAAATATCCGCATGTTCAATACACTCATTTGAAAGTTCAACGGTTTTGTTGTCTTTGAAAATGCAACCAACTGCACCGTACCGTATACATTGTTTCTCTACATTTAGCATTTTACTGTATTACCATGCTATTTCTCGAAAACGTTTAATGATACAAAATTATATTTTACAGTAGAGATTTATTAAACTTTTTATTATATATTTATATATAATGCAAAAGCTTCAAACGAGCAGTAAGTCTTTTTATCAAACGGTAAATTATGTTTAATAATTTCAGTTTATATTATTGTTAATCATTCAGCGAACGTCATCTGTAATCGTTTAATTTTGTATGAAATTCCGTATTTGATGAAACTCAGAGAGTATCTTGCCTCGTAATATGCGGAATACATTATGTGAATAAACATTATTCCTCGGTCTCTTATCCATTAAGCGGATTACATCTCTAAGTAGCATAAATTACCTCCGTAAATAAGACAGTTGCTTCAGGTATGCATCGCTCCTGTTTCAGATGTTTTGAGCAGCACACCGCACGGAAAGATGAAGACTGCGGTCGGTACATTCTTTCTTTTGCTCGTCATCAGCGGCGTCGTCTCCGTCGAATGGAAGCACAGTGCTGTCCTGGACAACAATTTCTTGGTGCTCTGGACGCCCGATGAGAAGGACGTTACATTCGAGATCCAAGTGAAGACCCTCGGCTACGTCGGGCTCGGTTTCACGAAGGATGATGGCCGCGCCGGAGCTGACATGGTCATCGGATGGGTCGATAACAACGGTCAGGTTCACCTTCAAGTGAGTATCTTTTTATACTGTATCAGGTAATATCTAATTTCTCGCGGTCACCAGCACATCTCTTTTAGTCATCTTGCGTGGCTGTACTAAAAAATAGATGTGCACTTTCGTGCGTCACAATTACGGGCAATACATTCACAAAAAAACGATGATCCAATCTACATCAAGTATGTCTAAAAACATAGCAATCCAGTATAGCATCTCTGATGAGAAATCGTACGAACAAAAAACAACCATTTTGCAGCTTTTCAAATTTAAAATGGAATATATTAATTTAATAAAATAACGGAAATTAAATTTCTGTTGAAATAAAGAATTATTTAAAATACGTAAAAAAATATGATTTTATTCATAAATTTACACTTTTGAAAATTAATCCGTTAAAAGACTTCAGGTTTTCGTTATCGTATCACTTTTTAACAAGGCCGTCGATGCGAAATTTATCATTTACTACAATTTATCACTTTAATAGAAATTACCTACATTCCTATACCGTTCCTATGCGCTGTTGATTTCTGTTTCGGACACACAGAGAGCTACAAATGGAAATCGTTATCGCACAGAGCATTCACATTAAAGCTCACTGATATTTAAATCAACCACGCCGACGTCCTACTTGTGTACGCAAAGTGCCTGGGGGGAGAGGGGGAAGGGGGGCGAGAGGGCGAGAGTAATCGAGAATAATTATTTCCGTGCTACTGATCGAGTGGAGTTCCCTCTTTGAATATTGTAAAGTCCGCCCTGGCACGCCAACATCGACGATGGAACGCGCTTAATGGTAGTCATTCGGGAGATAAGTAATGGCTCTCCCGTTTCGATCGGCGCATCGGATAGTTATCAATCATGCCCACTAAAGCCGGCAGGCTGTCATTACGCGTTCTTCTCATTTTGCACGACACTCGGTACATCGAGGACTTGCCCGCGGAGGCGAGTTGCCTTACGTAATTTTTCCGCGAAAATGCGGTTCCCTGCATAACGTGCCTATCACATTGATGCTGTCCATCTTCATCGCGACGAAGAGAATCCGCGCGACTGTTACGTAAGTGTGGTCGCAATTTGCATTAACTATCAAGCTCTTACAGATATTTGATACAGTTTCTCTCTCTCCCCTTCTTTTCTCTCTTTTTCTTTCAAAAATGATATGTGAATTTCAAACAGAGCACATTCAACCTGTAACCATTATAGAATCGCACCAAAAAATCGTGGCTTTTTGATGAACGAGAAAATCCAATGTTGCAAATAAGGAAGTTAAATTATTATTTTTTACATAGAGAAAAATGATCTGGTTGGATTAAATAGTAATTCTGGTGGAAAACGGACAAATCAGAATTTTCTGATTAAATCAACTAGATGAGTTCAACTCATTCTAGTTGAGTTAATTAGAGAATTCTGATTGATATAATTATTCTGGTAAAAATAAGAATTTTAGTAGATTTTACCAGAAATATTGTATCAATCAGAATTCCGGTTATCTCAACTAGAATTCTAATAAATTTAACCAGAAAATTCTGATTCGTCCATTTTCAACCAGAAATTTTTTTCAATATAATTGTCTTACGACAACTTACGACGATCTCGCTCGAGATCGAATCGATGTAGATAACGCGGTCTATCATCTTTCGTTGAACTCAATAAAAGAAAAATCCTGATGATCACGTAGCTCCGACTTTGCTATTTAATTCCGCGATAGCGAGGCCGAGGTCCGCAAACTTCCCCCGGATATATCATGAGCTGTCCGCACTGCGGTTAGTTCCGACGCCGCGGTAATAGTTCGGAGTTAATACCGCGTGCATGTGCGACGTGAGTGCCGGCGGTGATGGTTCTTTGAATAACAAGGCGTCATTCAAAGGGACGCCGACGTGTCCGTGGCACGCCAAAGAGAGAAAAGCTTCTCCGGGCCAGGCGGTAATCTAGTTCGCGCGATTTCCACATGAACGGCTACGAGAATTCCGTGCCAAGCCGCACGGTGCGTTATTTTCGGCTGCTTTTCTTTTTGTAAATTTAAAACGTCGTTAGTCGCGCATTTGGGAACACTCGGGATCCCTCTTCATAGACCGGACGCGACGAGGATTACACGCTATCCATCCTTTCATCAGCGTTACGCAGCCGTTGACAGTTTCTGGCCCGGTTCTTCGCCGAGAGGATAGGTGCGTCGCTTTCTTCTTCATCTTCCTTTTTTCTGTTCTCTTTTCCGTATCTCTCTTCGTGTGGCAAGCGAACTGAATCAACTGAGAAAGGGGAGAGCGCTCGTCGCGTCGCACAAGCTTTTTTACCGTATTTTTACCGACCACGCAGCGAAACATTCATTTCGCTTCGCCATTATCCCCCAGTTATCCCCCTCCCGCATAGATTTATCAGCGGCTACTTTGCGCTTGGCTTTTCGTTGCATGTTAGGCGTCAAAGGAACACCGCAAATGCTCCCTCTGCCTATTTTTATTTCAGTACGAGCGTGTAATGCCGTGGCGTTATTAAATTTCTCAGCGGGATTATAACGCGTTGTACCAGATTTTTATGAAGTCAAAGAATATTGTGATAAAGCTATTCAAACGAAGATATAAAAGAAACATATCATATTCTTATTACTTATCGTATAATTTTGGTAGTAATTAATACTATGTGACACATTAAGTTTATTGATTTGAAGATACAATTATCTATCAGGTAGTTGAAATTTGATATCATTAAATTGTTGATTTTTTATTATATAAATCTTCTAGAAATGAGTATGCATATTCATAATGCTATAATATTTTATACATTGTTGGAAAATTACAATTTTTTATTATAGAGAGCCTTTATAGGCTAATTTTTTTCCTTTTGTTTTTTAGAAGACCGGAAAATGTCGTATATCCGACTTGAAGAAATTGCTTTCTCGGATATCCGATCGGATATTGAATATCCGATGTTACATTCTGTCCGGATATCCGATATCTGGTATCTGGTAATTTTACGATCCGATGCATCCCTAATAAATAGTTATCTAATAGATAATTGTATCTTCTTCATTAAATAAAGAAATATGATAATTAATGTAAATTGTAGATACATTATCAAATATTAATGATATGGAGTTTTATTTTGCTTTAATTACTATTTTATCGATTTTGATACAAAAGATATTTGATTAATGGAACATACAATTTATTATGTAGTTGATATAATAAAAATTTAAAACGTAAGACTTAATTGTCACAATATTTTATGACATCTACGATATTTAAATTTATAAGGAAGGACGAGATGTTAAAACTTCTCGTTCATCTTCATTTAAAAACCGCGAATTCGCTTCTGCAACAAATGGGCTGCTTATATTTATGCGATTGTGATTGGTAGCGTCGGGCACATCGCGTTTACATTATAGAGACCTCCCGACGTTTCTTACAAAATGGAAAGCAGTCCTAACCGGGAGGACGGGATATAGGAAAGCAATCTTCCACGACGAGTATCGCGAGGGTCGACTGAGAGTGGTTAGGTGGGTAACGCATAGATCGGTATCTACATAGGCATCTTTACGTCAGTGTTTCCCAAATGGCGTTCCCCGGAATGCCAAATAAAATAAAAATGGAAAACTTAATTTATAGCCTCGTATCATGAATTTATTTATTTAATTTGTTCCGACTGTTTCTTGTAACTTGCATATGAGTGCTCTTTAATATCGTTCCCCTTTTATGAAAATTGAATTCGATTGAATCTTGCGAAAGAAAAGATACTGTAATCTAAATTCAGATATGCGTTACTATTATTATACAGAAATGAGATAAAATTTTAAATCAACGATATCAGTCGAAAATGTACAAGTTTTGCAAGCGTATTGTCGAAATTTAAAGTTTAATTGGCATTTTTTAACATCATTTCTTTACAATATATGTATGCAATTATACAGTAATTTATACGGATTTAGCATAAATACACGGAAAGAACGGTTTTGCTGAAGTATTAAAAAATTTAGCTACATACACAGATCTGGAAACAATTTTGTTGGATCATCAAAATAATGTGAAACGTTAAGAAACGTTAATAACAATACTGCAAAAGATTGTAATATTCTAGCAACTACACAATTTGAGTATCTTACATAATTATTTTGATGGTCCAAAGGAAATTCTTTTCAGATCTATATCTATCTAAATTTTTAGATGCTTCAGCAAAACCGTTTCTTCCGTGATACAACGTATATGGACTGATGAAAGTCTATGCGACGCACGCAAGGAAACGGTATTAGAAAATAAAAAAAAATATCACGGTCTTTCCCTTGAAGTCGACCGCAATTACGAGCTCTATGACGTATTCCGAGGAATTCAGTCGCCGTATAACAAATTGGGAAACACTGCTTCACGTGGATGGGATAGATGGAGAGGAGATAGTCGGTCTGCAGATCGCGTCCGTCTCGCGTGTCCGCAATTTTTCCGGCAGAATCGTTGCCCGCTCGTTCCATAATGCATACCGTGCACCGCGCAATGCCCTGTACGATGCGGCCGCGTCGCCGGACGTTCTCATACGCTGTGAAAGAGAGGAGAGTCGATAGAGGCGGAGGTGGTGGTCGCAGAAGGGGTAGCGGAGAGTCGGGCGGTGAAAAGAGGAGAGAAAGAGAGAACGACTGGCATCTCCAATGGGAGCGAGAAGCTTTTTCGTTATGATCGTAATCTTAGAACCAGACCAGCCGCGGGCATCCCGGACCAGCCGGACGACTGCTACTCCGCTCGATTTCTTACTCGTCTCTACGGCCGTCCCTCCGGTCGATACACGACTTTAATTCCGCCATTTGCGGGGGCGATATATACGCATCGGAGAACGACGCCCCGCTGCAGCAATCCGATATGCACGCCGCGCCGAGAGATCGCTCGAGCGTTTGTCCACGTCGAGGACTGGCGTGTAACGAGCAAAATCACTCTGATTGCGTATGCCATGTGTATTACATGCGCGAAACGCGGATCCCAATCGCAATTTGCTTAGAAATTTCCGCGGTTGGATTGCCTAGTCGCGGTGCTCAAATATATATT